GTGCTGGAGAAGAGTATTGAGAATAACATGGACTGCTAGGAAAACAAACAGATTCATCCTGGAAAAGGTTAAACCGGGTGGCTCCTTTTAGGTAAGGATTCTGAGTTTCCGTCTAACATACGTTGGACATGTTGTAAGGAGAGACAGGTCCTTTGAGAGGGACATCATGCTTGGTAGGATGGAGGGACAGTGCAGGAGGGGAAGGCCCTCTATGAGGTGGATTGATTCAGTGATTGGGGTAATTGGGATGGGAGTGTCAGAGACAGTGTGATTGGCACAGGACAGAGCGGAGTTTAGGTCTGTTGTACATAGGGTCGCTATGAGTCGCAAGCAACTCGATGACACATAACAACAACAACAACAGTGGCCAGTGGGGGAGCTCTGGTGAGGTCTGTGGGAGTTGTCGTATTAGTTCAAAGGTAGACTGAATGCTCCAACAACTCTGAGAGTGAAAGATGGGCAACCTCCCCCGATACAATTTGCAGCCTCTAAAAACCCATGGAAGGGTCAGCTCTGAGTCACAAGTTCTGACTTGACAACAATGAGTTGAGCTGAATGGCTAATAATCTTGAGCATCGTTTGTGCCTGACCTGCCATCTGTACACCCTTTTTTTGTTGTCCCTGTCTTGTGCCTGAATTCTAAAGAAATCATTGTGAGCTTTTGTTTTGACTGTTGGGTTTTGGTGCCAGGCTGCGCGTGGTACACAGTTTGGGTGGGCTCTCTCTCACAGAACTGTCAGTGTGTGTGTTCCCAACACTGCTCTAACAAACCCCCACCAACTGTGCTTCAAAGAACAGGATCTTGTTCCCTCACAGTCTAGGGGTCTCCCATAGAGCCGGCTCTCTCCTGCTCTCAGAGGTCTTTTCTTGTTTCTTCCAGCTTCTGGAAGTCTCTTCCAGGCATTCCTTGGCTCGTGGCTGCACCTCCATCATCACATCTCCCTCCCCACGTCATTTCGGAGGTGTGTTGCATTAGAGCCCATCACACCCCAGTCTGACTTCATGCTAACGACATCTGTTAAGACTCAATTTCGGTACCAGTTACAGTCCCAATACAGAACTTCATCCTGACCTTTGGACACAGATCAGCCTACACCCCTGCAATTTTAGGGGGCAACTGCCAGCAATGCATCAAAAAGTAAATACCTAAGTTCAAAACACACCAAGTGCTGTACAAACAAAAAGCAGGTGAATGATGCATGGCAGAGAGATATCCAGCGAGGGAGTCAGGGTCCCACACTTGAGATGAAAGCCAATCCTAGAATCTAGAGGGATGTGCTCTAGGAGAAGCGGACGACCATGCTTGAGGCTAGAGCATGGTAGGGAACCAGGGTGGAGGGTGTGTGGTGCTGCAGGGGCAGGTGGGAAGGTGGGGCTGACCAGGACCAGGTGGGGGCGAGTGGTCACCAAGTGCAGTTTTGAGCATCCAAATCTGCAAAGTAAGACTTTGGGGTTTTACCTTGAAACCACCAAGAAGCAGCAGTGGGAGAGGATTGAATGTCTTAAAATCCTGACTATGCAAGCCACCTCCCCCTTTTATGACCATCCCAATCAGGCTTCCAGGTGTCCCCTCTGCCACAGCACAGGTGTTGGGGTGATGTGGTCACTGACCAAGTCCTTAGAAGGCCCAATTCATGCCCAAGGCACTGTGCCCTGGAGCTGCCTCCCACAGCAGGGAAGGGTGTCCAGTGTCTATTTAACATTCCCCAGTGTCAGTCAGACCCTCTCCCAGACAGACAAGTGTCAAATATTCTTGAAAATGACCCAGCAATCCCTGCCTCTGCCCGCCCTGCCCCCACAGTCGGCCAGGCTCCAGCATTGGCTTCTCCCAGGCAGCTGTGTGGTCCCAGGAAGCTCCACCTGTCAATTTCTCCTCTGTCCGCACCCTGAATGAAGTAAAAGAATATGTTCATTGAGACCATTTCACTCCTGAAAAAGATAGTTAGCAATGGAGCTCATGCCTTTGACCACATCCTGAGTGGGACTGACAAGTGTGGTTGTGTTCATATATGTGTGTTCATGTACATACGTGCACATGTCTGCATTTGTGCACAAGTATGCACACACATCTGTGTATGGCTCATGCAGGTGTGTGCATGTGTATGGACCCTCTCTCCATATAATAGGCACCCCATTTTCTGTGCCATCATGATGGTAGTGCCTCTTCTCAACAGAACTCTGGGCCGCCCCACTGACACCCTACATTGCAGGGGCCAGTTCTGGAGAAGGCAAAGAATCAAGGGGTGCTGTTCAGTTCAGAGTGTGCGTGTTGTGAGAGAGGTGACAACCGAGAGATGTGGGCTGGGACTGGTCTAGGGGAGGCCCCAAAACCAGGACAAGAAATTTGGCTATCAAGGCTATTGGAGGCCACATTGTTGTCCAGGTGACATAAGATCTGACCAGGATCCTGCTGGCCCCACATATATCCTTGCCTCACTTGAGATCCCAGGGTGGGAGATACCAGCTTCCCCTCACACTGCTGTTGTTTACCGTAGCTGACCCTCCAGCAGGTTTTCAGAGGCAGTGAATTATGGGGGTGGGGAAGGGGGGATGATTGTCCATCCTTCTCCTGAGGAGCAGCTGGTGGATAAAAACCATGTGCCTTCGAGATTGCAGCGCAGCTTCTTACCACTAGGCCCCAGAGCCCCCCTCACACTTGAACAGAACATGTGGAGGCCTTTTTCTCCCTGTGTTCAGGAAGTTCCCCCAGCGAAGGCACTGTTAAAGCTGGAAATGCCAGGTGTTTGCCTCCCAGCGTCCTGGCAAACAGGGACAGTGTGTGATCTGCACTAGGTACCCAACGACTTTGAATCTGGAGGCATCAGCTTTGACAGCCCAGCAGCAAGCCCATGAGGTCAGGGGAGGTCCTTGGCCCTGCCTTCCGGGGGTAGCAGTGGCAAGCACCACCTAGGTGGCCACACAGGCCCAGTCCATGATCTGATCATGACCAAGCCTAGCTGTCCTATCCCTTATTCTTTCCTCTTATCCACTTCTGGGAGGCTGTGACAGGCCTGGGGTCCCCAGAGCTGGCCCCTTTCTGGTTGAAGTCAGCTTGGGCCACTTGCACCTGGGATTGAGAACCCTGAGCAGGCTGGATATGGGCACCACATCTGCAGGATCCACCCGGTTGAACATCTGTCTGCTATTTACTTACTTCAACTTAATGCTTGTCGTGACAGTGCAAGATTCCCAGAATCCCAGCCCACCCAGAATCCCACAGCCCTGGTAGAACCTCTCCCACCACCACCCAGCCTTCTCACCCAGCTCACCTCAACCAAACACAGCCACCCAGAAATGCATCCAGAGAGGGCTGTGCTCCCTCCAAACTGAAATTCAGGCAGTCATCATGAATAGGATGGAAATGAAACCACCAGTGGACAGTGACCAGTGATCAGACAGCAAGAAGGTCATGTTGTGGTGTGAGCTGACTCTCTGGCCGATTTTCAGAGTCAGTGAATCTCATCAGATGAGAGTGCACATACTTCTCTCACAGGGTAGTTAGTGGATTTGAACCAAGTACCTTTGTGTTGGTAGCACATTCCTTACCACTAAGCCACCTGAGCTCCCTACACCTGTTACAAAACCAGTTCTAAGCAAGAGAGAGCACAGAACAAAGGCAGCAGATGACAAAGGGGACTTTGAGGACTACAGCTTGTCTGCACATAGCCCTTGTCCAGGCCTCACCTGGGGTGGGGGGGTGGGCTCTGCTATACCCTGGGGCAATGAGGAAGATGGGTGACTAGGAGCTGAGAATGAGGAGCTTGGAGCAGCATCACAGGAGGACCAATCCTGTGGTGCTGACAAATCCGTTCTCCTCATGCTTACAGCTCTGAATCTCTTAGTAAATTGGCGCCCTGGTTCCTTTCCATGAGGTCCCTCCACTCAGCGGTCCGTTTCTTTAGATTAGCCAACTTTGGGTGGTGAGTTGTACAAACGCTCTCTTCCTGGGTGCTCACCTTTCATTCCTCCTCAGCTGCTCTCACGGAGCAGGAGCTGAACAGGACGTGAGGGTGAGACCCACTTTTGCTGTGTGTCAGTATGGAGATGAGCTTCGTCTCTGGGCTGCAGACAAGGAGGGAGTTTGTCCTATCTTCTCTGACAACTTGTCCTGTCCTGGGGTGAGGGAGTGTTGAGTGGGCTCACCCACGTGCCTCCATCCCTGGACCCCTCTCTCTTCTCCTCCTCTGGAAGTTTCCCAGATGTTCAGTTTTACATCAGACCTCGTGTACAAAGTGGAAGAAAACTATAGGCCTTGTCACCCACCACCAGAAGTTTCTGTCAGATTTATGCTGTGTGACTAAGGACATCCTGCTTCAGGAATCAGGGAGAGCTTTGTGGAAGAGGCGGCCTGCTAGCTGGATTTTAAAGCATGAGTAGGGTCCACTGAGGAGCGCAAAATGGTTAAGTAGGGGCTACTAACTGGTGGTTCTAGGCCACTCAGAGGCACTTCAGAAGAAATGTCTAATGGTTTACTTCTTAAAACTTGTGCCCTTAAAAACCCTGTGGGGGCAAAAAAAAAACCCCTGTGGAACGCATGGGGTGACACTGGTGGTCAGAATCTCTCAAGGCACCTGGCTAGGGTCCACCAGCATGGAGAATGAAGTCTTCCCAGGCTGCAGGAACAAACTGGCCATTGGGTGCTGCTGCCGGGGAGCATGGGAGCAGGGCTGGGGGTATCCCTAAGCCACCCCTGCATTTGAGGCATTGGTGGCTCTTGGAGAAAGACAGCTGATGAGAGGCAGGAGGAAATGCCTGTGTGAAAGGCAGATGGGGCTGTCAGGGGTCTGATCTGCCTGATGAAGTCACAGGAATTCTCCGGCAGTGGGGATGGAGGCTCTGCATGCTCATGTTGGAAGATGGAGGCTTGGGGGCTGGGGTGGTGTGTGGGTGGTGTATGACTGGCCTTGATGGCAAGTTGGGGCTCACCAAGCCATGACCTCCATGGTCCTGCTTTGAGCAATGACTCAGACTCAGCGCTGCTTCACCTGTTCCTGCTGCAGGAAGTAATGAAGGTGTCAGACGGCAGCCTTCTGGGGGACTCGGGGCGCACACCACTCAACAAGAAGGAGGGTGTCAAATGGCAGAGGCCACGGCTCACTCGCAAGGCTCTGATGCGATGCTGTCTAATCAAGTGGATCCTGTCCAGCGCTGCCCCGCAGGGCTCAGGTAGGGCTGGGGTCCTGAGCTCTGTTCTGAGCAGCATCTCTGGGTGCTCATTGACCACCTGGGTTCCAGTTCAGACCACCCTACCTCTGTGTACTGGGAGAGGCTTCCATTCACTCAATGGGAGTCCTACTGAGCTCCAGAGGACTCCAGGGGATTGGAGACAGAGTTTTGGGTGTCTGGAGGAGACAGCCAGGCACAGAGTCTGAGCAGCCAGGCTCTGCTCGCCCACTGCTCACTAGTAACCATGGGCAGCTCTCTCCCCCTCTGAAGGAGGAGTGCTAACTTCCACTTCCCCCAGAAGGCACATCTGAGGGCTGACAATAATGTGGGCAGGGTCTGTGAGGAAGAGGCCCACTCAGTGGTCCCTGGATTTTCTTTGGCTGTGTTCTGGGGTGTCCATGGAGAACTGACAGAAATGGTTGCTCTGTGAGGGCTGATGGTTGTTGAGTATGATACAGCCAGGGATGAGGAGACAGCCTCACACAGTTTCTGTGTGCTCACACATGCATACACACATCACACACTCACATCTGTGCATATTTCTCCACACAAGAACAGCCTCCACAAGCATGCACACTCTCACACACACATGCACACCATGCACATGGACCCATGCCCCACACACATGCTTCTGTGCACACAGTAGGGTGAGCACACACGTTACACACATTAATGTGTTCATATGTATACATGTGCCACTCACAGGCATGCTCACTTAGGTTCAGGCACACACATTACACACACCAATATGTTCACACGTACACACATGCCACACACACTCGCTAAGATTCACATGCACTCACGCCCCCCCCCATGTACACTGTACAGGCGTGCACACATATACACATACCCAGGGCACACTCATGTAAATCTCACACACTACACATGAACAGTTTTGTAAGGGAAAAAATGCCAACGTGGGCCTTCCTCTCATTGCTTTAGTCATCCCAGCTGGATGATTTACAGAGGACACTGTTTGTCACCTGGAGAACGGGTTGATACCAGCTCCTAACTCCCCTTGATGGGTGTGGGGTATGGAGGATCCCCTGTGTGGCCCAGCAGCAGGCTCACAGACTGTCAGCCACCCCGTGAGTCCTCTCTCTATGTGCTTGGTCTCAGTCCTTCATGCTCAAAGTCCACCTTCACCTATGTGGAAGCAACAGGAGTGGTTGTCCCGCCTGCTGTGGGGGACACTTGGTGTTTGTTGCTGCGACACAGCAGGAGCTGTAGAGGTGACCTGACACTGTGAAGCCTCCCTCACTCAGTGCCAGTCCTCTCTGTTGGCCCCCATTCCTCAGGCTGGGCCCACCTGCAGTGCTCTGTTACCCTCAGTTATGTCCCTTCCTGGTTGCCCCCTCTTTTCCAGGCCAAGGAAAAGGGTCTGTCACATGCACACATCCTCCACCCACCTCTTGGAGAAAAATAGATTTTGCAGGTGTCAGAACATGATGGAATTGCTAAAGTGTATGCAAATGGTGTAATTATGAAGCACACATCTTCACAGTTCTGTTTGTTCTGCAGCAGGATTGGGTGAGTGGGCAGCAAAAACAAATGCAAATGGTCTCTGAAAGCAGAGATTAACCCGGGACATGCTACGGCTGGCCACACTGGCTATCCTGTGCACAGTGGCCTGGGCCACGCTCGGAAGGAGTTTTGCCTCACTGGGGGCTCATACTCCCACTGGCCACCTCCCACCCCCATCCTCCAGCGCTTCTTGGCAGGAGTGGTCATTTGGGCAGGGGTTGAAGCAAATCCCCCACTCTCTGTGGGCAGAACTTGCAGGCACTAGCATTTCCTTCCCAGGCCACTCTCCCCCTCACCTTCCCTCGCCCTCTCCACCTGCCCTCACCACCTCCCTCCTGTGGGGCCTACAGGGCTTATACTCCCAGTATCCTCAAAAGAAACACCTGCTAAATAGTGGAGGTTCAGGGTGAGGTGCTGGGGTGCATCAGTGATTATAAGGCTGCAGTGAGAGATACCAAGGCCAGCAAGTCAGGAAGCAGGTCACATTAGAGGAAAATCCACTCCTGTCCTGTCTCCAGTCCTGGTGGGCTTCTAGGGAGCGGGCCAGGGAAATTTTCATCTCCAGCATCAGAGCCATGCATTCAGGGAGGGGGACAGAAAGAATGGGATAGAATTAGACATAGAGATCTTAGAATATCATTCAAATATGGCTCAACTGGCCTGCCATGTTCCCCTTGTTGTTGTGAAGTGCCATCAAGTCAAGTGCCACTCATAGAGACCCTAATGAGCAACATATCTGAGCCCTATCCTGTCCTGTGCTGTTCTTACTTCTGATACATTTGATCCATAGCTACAGCCATGGTGTGAGGGTCTTCCTCTCTTTGCTTGTCCATTTCCAATAAATAGATTCTCCTAACAATATGTCCAACATTCGTGCTCCAAACATCCCGTGATCCGACTATTAAAGGATGTTTATAACTATTTCTCATTTTAATTGACTGCCAATCTGGGCTCTACCTGTAATATTTTATCTATTTGCATTCCTCCATTGTTCGTAGGGTTTTCAGAGCACTGTGATTTAAATATGTGTTGGACATTATGCTGAGTGAGGTATCTCAGTCACAAAGGGACAAATGCTATATGGTGCCACTGTTGTAGAATGAGGCTGGCATTGGGGTGGGGGTAAGACTG